CGTCACACTTCCATATTACTATATGTATGTACATCCGTCACACCCACTGGTCACTATATGTATGTACTTCCGTCACACTACCACATGACTTTATGTATGCACATCCGTCACACTGCCACATGACTATATGTATGTACATCGGCCACAGCCACTGTTCACTATATGTATGTACGTCCCTCACACTGCCACCTGACTTTATGTATGTCCATCCGTCACACTGCCACTAGACGGTATGCGTGTACAGCCGTCACACTGCCACATGACTATATGTATGCATATCCGCCACAGCCACTGTTCACTATATGTATGCACATCCGCCATAGCCACGCTTCACTATATGTATGCACGTCCGTTACACTGCCACATTACCTTAGGCATGCACAACCGTCACACTGCCACACGATTATATGTATGTACATCCATCACACCAACTGGTCACTATATGTATGTACGTTCGTCGCACCCACTGGTCACTATTTGAAGACAATCGTCACTATAAAGACGATTAACATTGAAGTACTAAGATTGTTTTTCCTAACGCACAACTGGTTATTGAACTTGTGGAGGTCAGCATGAATCAGTGCTTGCATTGCCATTGGTTTCCATTGGTCCATTTTACTCCCTATTTATTTATCCAGTCATATGCGTTATAATTTTACACCGTGTAAATCGTCTTTATTGTCTTCAAATAGAAACCAGTGGGTGTGACGGATATACATACATATAGTCATGTGGCAGTGTGACGGATGGACATACATAAAGTGAGGTGTGAGTGTGATGGACGTACATACATATAGTGACCAGTTGGTGGGACGGATGTACATACATATAATCGTGTGGCAGCGTGATGGATGTACATACCTTAGGTCATGTGGCAGTGTAACGGATGTACATACATATTGTCATATGGCAGTGCGACGGACGTGCATACATATCGTGAACAGTGGCTGTGGCGGATGTACATACCTTAGGTCATGTGGCGGTGTGACCGACGTACGTACATAAAGTCAAGTGGCAGTGTGACGGAAGTACATACAAACGGTCGTGTGCCAGTTTGACGGATGTACATACATGCGGTCATATGGCAGTGTGACGGACGTAGGTACATATAGTGACCAGTGGGTGTGGCGGATGTACATACATATAGTCATGTGTCAGTGTGACGGATGTACACACATGAAGTCAAGTGGCAGTGTGACGGATGTACATACATACGGTCGTGTGGAAGTGTGACGGACGTGCATACATATAGTGAACAGTGGCTGTGGCGGATGTATATACATATAGTCATGTGACAGTGTGACGGATGTACAACACCTGACATGTAAAAAATAAATACTTAACATTCGGCAATATATCAGACACGTCTTTCAGATCAAATTCATCAAAATTACAATCATCGATATCATTTAACACTATTAAATTTATCTGTAATATTTGAATACGTTCCAGTAACCTCATTATATGTTTATCATCATTACGACAAATGGAGGTCTTAATACAGCAAAAACAGAACGATTTAAATTAACATTTTTATTTTCCTCTGTAAACAATTCATAATTTTCACATAAATTATAAAACAAAATTCGTTTTCGATAAGTTGTTATATTACGTAAATCATCTTTGACTATAATCGTATCACCTTTTCCTGGCAATTGATATGAAATATCATCTCGAATTTAAAAGCTGTGAACGACTATTTTTAATTTGTCTGAAAGCTGCAGTGATGAACGTTGATGCGTCGTTGGTTTAGAAATTAATCCAAATTTTCATGTTAAATGTTGAAAAACAGCTTTTTTCTTTAAGTCACATTTAAGAAGAGAAGAAGTAACTTTTGTTAACGCTTTGACAAATGATTGACGAGTTTTGAAAGAAGATGGTGACGCATCAACGTTCATCATTTCAGCTTTCAGACAAATTAAAAATAGTCGTTCACAGTTTTTATATTCGAGATGATATTTCATATCAATTGCCAGGAAAAGGTGATACGATTATAGCCAAAGATGATTTAGGTAATATAACAACTTATCGAAAACGACTTTTGTTTTATAATTTATGTGAAAATTATGAATTGTTTACAGAGGAAAATAAAAATGTTAATTTAAATCGTTCTGTTTTTGCTGTATTAAGACCTCCATTTGTCGTTCCACAAGCTTCTTTGGCTCATCGAATTTGTGTTTATTTATAGCAGAAAATGTTCATCTTCTTTTAAAACCATTGGATAAATACGTTAACGGCGGTGTTTGTAGTTCATTGCAATATTTCACAGATTCTCTAGTTTGCAATTCATCTAATGAGGGCTGTATGTTTATTTTCTGTCCATTGTGTGACGAAAATTTTAAGGAAAAAGTTGAAGATAAGTTATCGGATGGTAATGCTCGACTTACGTGGTTTCAATGGGTCAATGTAAAGGATCGAGCTGAAAAGCAGGACTTTTCTGACTCAGCTTGCGAGGCAGTTTGGTTCTTGAAGTCCAAAACAGAACACTTTCTGTTTCATGTTTATATTAAACGAGAACAATCAAAATATTTTGAAAAAATGAAGCTGGAGGTTAGTGATGAGAGTGTTCTGATTCAGGTTGACTTTGCTGAAAATTTTAGTTTGAAAGAATAAGATGAAATTCAGAGTGCACACTGGATTACAAAAACGTTATCGATTTTTATAGCTTATGTTTGATCTAAAAGTCAGGGTTTTTCGTTTGCTTTACCGTCGAAGGATGTTAGTCATAATAAATTCGTTATTAATTCAACACTTGAAATAATTTTTGTTCAGTTTAAAATATTTCTTCCTAACCTGAAGGCGATTCAGTTCTTTTCAGATGGAACAGCAAGTCAGTTCAGACAACGGTTTATGTTTCATGGTCTTGCTCAGTTAGCTTGTGATTATTCAATTAATTTGAGTTGGAATCTTTTTGCTACATCACATAGTAAAGAAGTTGTAGACGATCTTGGCAGTAGTATTAAACGTCTTGTCTGGTCAGCGGTGTTCGGAGATACTACCTGTACATCGGCAGAAGATTTTGGTCGTATGTATCGCAAAACAGAAAACAAAACAAATAATTCTTATTGAAATTATGAAAAACAAAACTGATGCATCGAAACATAAATTAAAATATATTTCAAGTGGCAGTGGCCAGAGACTTCGAAAACACATTTTGTTCAAGTTATCGATTACAGTACTACTGAATATAAATGTTATTCCTTAAGTACTCAAAACAAGACAATTAAATATAATTAAAAAGTTCAAACGTTACGATATTTTTTGACTAGACTTTGTTTCTTTCTACATGTGTGTTCTCTTTTTAATTGCGTGTGTTTAGGCAGCCGATAAAAGGCAAACATATGTTCCCCTAGCCAGGGTTTTTGATTTAGGCTAAAAAAGAAAGAGAGAAAAAACCTAGGACAAAAAAATACACTAGTTATGAACATTAGAAAAAGATCTTTAAAAAAACTTCCCAGCTCAAAGGAGACCCGAGCTGAAGAAACAGCAGGGTTTTTGAGATAGCATGACCTCAAACTGTAGTGGCTAAGTGCCTCCGAGTAGGTTTTCAATGAATAGAAGGAGAGTACATAACTTCAGTAGAGAATTATGAGTTTGACGCAGGCTTAAGGGTTTGGTCAAGATGCACAACACAATCTTTAATGGTTAAAGCCGTAGAAACGTCTCTCTGGAAGTCAAAAAAATCGATTCAGACGAATCTGTACTGAAGTAAGCAACATACTAGAAGAAAAAAAAATGTGTCACACCGTTACGAAAAATGTCACAGCGTTACGTTTGCTTTTTGTATTTTGTGCCCAAGCAAAAATAATTGAAAGGAAATTTGTTTTACCGTTGAATAGTCCGTCCGATGCTCTACAAAACTGGCTCTTGAAACTTTCCAGCTGGATAGATACTTTTGTAGGAAACTAGAGTTTTATCACCAGTTCTCAAAATTTAGGGCCTTTTTATGTCACGCCGTTACGTTTGGACAAACCGTGAATTGTGCTTCTGAACACTGCTACTTTGAAGAAGATCCTTATGAAGTACGTGTGCGCATACGGAGGAATAACACATATGAGTATGTGTGCAAGAGAAAACAGGAAGCAGAAAAGTTATGGTGATAGAAGATCAGTCTTCAAATTTCGACTTGCTGAATAAAATAGAAGAATAGGCGGAGTTCTGTTATGGGGAGGGAATTATTCTAGTCCGTCTCATTTTAAGGCGCTTATCCTTACTTCTGTAATTGACTAGGAAGTCAATCAGTTCTTTTATTTGGCATTCAGTACTTGTATATAAATAATAACAAAAGAGGATGTATGCTACGAAAATTTGTTCCGATTTCTTTCACAAAAGTCTACGATGACGGACAATAATCGCTAGGGGAACATTCTCAAGTAATTAAAGTCAATATTGCTGGTATTTTTTCATTAATAGGGTCTATAATAGTAAGAAAATGCCCAGACTGATTCGTGTCTATTCCTTCCAGAGTTATCACTAATATAATAAAATTCATGATTTTAATATTTTTACTGTAACGCACTATTCCAATGGGCTGAAACTCGCAGTAATAATAGTTCAAAAATAATGTGTAAGTTACACAAGTTTCAGACCTTATTCTTGTGTCTTTCTTGATAAATCGAATTTTCTGTTTTTCATAGGGTTTCTTTACTACCCTGTTAATGGAAAAACGTCTAATCATGAAATTCGATAGTGTAGACATTTATAAAATGCCTTAAGGACCCCTCGTTTTTCATTTCGTAAGCTTGTTTCACGTTTTTCTCAAAATCTCTTTTAGAACTGTAGCGTTTTGTACTTCCAAGATTTCTCCATCATTTTTTGAGCTAGAAATTTCGGCTTGGTTTCAAAAAATAGAGAAATATTTTTTCTATGTCGTAACATTGTTGGATTTTTCAAGTTAAGTTTAGTTTAGGAGACATTTAAAAAAGTTTCCGAAAAGTAAATAAAATCTCTCTAACTTGTCGGGAACTTGTTAAATTCCTCCTAAACTAAACTTAAATTGAAAAATCCAACAATGTCAGGACGTAGAAAACATTTCTCTATCTTTTGAAACCAATTCGAAATTTCTAGCTTGGAAAATGGCGGCAGAATCTTGAAAGTACGAAACCATACTTTTTCACCGCTAATTTAAGAATAACGCCGATAAAACAAGTGATATTATAAGAGGCTGCAATTAGTAGAATGACTAAGTTACCTCTAGGTACACATTGTCTGAAATTTGCATCAAGGTTGAACGTTCCTGGACGAAAATAAGTTTCTGAGGGGGTCCTTAACAAACATGATAAGTTATTTTATTAATTTATGAATGCATACGTAGGTTTGGTGACAAAAAGGAATAAAAATATATCCGACTAACGGTGAATGGTTTTTTTAAGGTGTGTGATTGTTGAAAAGAGAAATGCATCTTTCACAATCTCTGATGCTATTTGCGTGTATAATAGGCAAAAAATGAAAACATATATGAAAATAATATCAGTGTGTTTCCTTTCCATTCATTACAGACCTTCCAATTTCTCAGCATGACGACAGAAATACAAGTTCTCCCGGATGAAATATTTTTGAAAATTTATCGTTATATATCATCAATGGATGTATTGAAATCATTTTACAATTTAAACGCTCGTTACGATTGTACTAAAACGGAATATCGACAAAATGTTGACTTGTCAAAAACTTCTTACAATGATTTTATCTATCTGTGTTGTAATATTCTCCCATCATTAGCATCACAGATTATATCGTTAAGACTAATCAATACAGGCAGCCAGCTGAAATTATTTGACAGTTATTTTAGAAGTAAATATCAAACATTTGTAAAGATGAAATCATTGAAACTTGTTAATTGTAGAAACGATGAATTAAAATTATTTATCGGAAAAATGACAAAGTTAGAATCATTAATTGAACTCGATATTATATCGGATGATCTGTGCAAGGCAGAATTTTTGACATATTTTTTATTTTCAAAACCACATCACATTGAAAATTTATCGATAAAACCACAGTTTTCTTCTTCTATGGATCTTGATTATACGACAAACACTAATCTGCAATGGTTTTCTTGTGTTACACTAAAGGATTCAACAATATCTTTAAAATCATTTTTCAACATTCTTGTATTACTTGTTATTTTACCAAATATTAAATATCTAAATGTTCATACTATATGTCAGTCAGTGGATGAAAAGTATGATAAAAAACCATTTTCAAATTCATTATTAACCGACATTTGTTTACAATGCCCTACGCCTTTGAAAGACTTGATATGGACTTACTTTCTTCGGATGGAGACGAAAATGCAGATGAAAAACAGGTAAAGTTTTAAACAGTTAACTAAAGCTATATTTAAACCACAAACAGAGAGATTATGGATCAGATGTGGGCTATGGACTATTTTTAGCTCTCTCGCGGAGATCGCCTCGCAGACTTTCTGTCCCGTCACCGCCTCGTCCAGCGTCCACTATTATCTATCCAAATGCACAGTGGCCGCGGCCATTCTTTTTAAAACTTTTTAACGGAACAAGATGAAGACCTGCGACTTTCAGTGTCTTGGAGCTTGGATCCGACAGCATCTTCCTATGTATAAATCAATTCTACCAATGAGGTCTATCAATGTACACCTGATCGATGTTCCAAAGGCAATATTGTCGTTCCGTAACTTATCATACAAGTATAATGTTAGAAAATACACCTAAAATCCGGCGACATCTGGTCCACATATCTGCTAAAACCCGATATATCATGAAACTCGATAGAACTGTTATAAACCAACATAAAATACTTTAGTTTTTCAAGAGGTTTTCTAGAAATCTTCCGAAATAATATATTTTACACTACTCTCACGATCACAGATACAGCTGTCAGGTTTTAGCCGATATGTGGATCAGATGTCGCCGGATTTTAGGTGTATTTTCTAACATTATACTTGTATGATAAGTTACGGAACGGCAATATTGCTTTTCAAAAGATCGAAACTTGCAGAAAAACTACGATAACAATGAGAAAGAAGGAGACGAAAATAAGCCGTTGTATCTATATTTATCTGTAGTATCATTTGTGTCGTATTAGCACAAAATTTTCTATAGTCAGTATCTTGTAGAATTGTACAATTGATGTTGAATTCTTGATTTGATTGATGGTTAGATATCGATTGTTTTTATAATTCGAATACTCTAAGGGTGTTATTCTGATATTGACATCGTCATATGATAACCGTTGCACTATTGACTTTTTGCTCCTGTCAGTGCGTAGTCATGACTTATATCCCGATCGGGCTATACGATTATCCCGATTGGGGTACAAATCCTGATCGGGATATAATCAAGATTCGAATCGGGATATATATCCCGTTCGGGATATCGTTGTATCCCGATCGGGCTATATTACTAAACATGT